ATCGTTTCGAACAGTCTCTATCGCCGTTAAGCGTTTTGCAGAAGAGTTCCGAATTCAATATTACGTTGCTCGCGTTAATTGACGACACTGGGGAATTGCAGGCTCTGCGTGTAGCGGTCAAGAGTCTCGAGGAATGTGGAAGCACAAAGCATGATCGTACATTGGGCTGCTGTTATTTATTCGCTTAGGTGTACCGAACATGAGAATTGTTTTATATGTATAGTGTCTTACAACGGATACAGCGGGAACCGAGTCCAATTTGATCTTACTCTTGGGTCGAGAGGCATGATAGATTAATTTCTTTATTTTCGAAGTGTATTGAAAAATATTGACTCGATCGTAAAAAATTAACGCGCAGTAGGTTAAGCGATAGACTTATTCATTATTTTAGAAACGACAGTGTTGAAAAATAGCATTTTATAGGTCGCAGCCCAACATACGACACGCAATGTTCATTGCTATTCCGAAAATATTCTCGTGGATCGATTCTTAATTTACTGGAATGTGTCTCTTGGTTAAATATGGCGGACTGAAAGCGAATCCTCAGTCATCTTTTGGTCGCTATCCATTCACGCTTTAAATGCATAGTGGAGGGATGCTTCTGAAGTTAACCGATGCGAATTGCCGGCGACGAGTTGTAAAATTGTGCGGTGGATCAGAATGATATTTTTTCAATCGATGGCACGAAACTACGATCGTAAAATATTCGAGTCAATTTTATAAGGCTAAAAGATTTTTTTTTTTTTAAGTAAGATTATACAAGAACCTGTGAAGAACTGAAGTCTGGTTCTCCTAATCAGAAATGAATAATACGAATCGAAGAACAGCAAACATTCTTCATACATATTTCGTTTCTTGTTTCGTTAAAAAGTTACTGAATGGCCACTTAACCCGAGGCAAAATCGCTGCATCGCAGCCATCACCGTTCTGATCCACTGCACATGGTTCCACAAAAACGAGCCGCACTTAAATCATTACGCACGTTCTTACAGTCTCTCATAATTCAAGATAACTCTGGCCTCGTGTTCAATGTAATCATTATCGAGGAGCTCGCGACAGAGTGGTAGAAAAAAGGCATTCTTTCATAGTCGATTATCATTATATGAAAATAAATTCGAATAATTCTCAAACTTCAAAATGTTCGTAAACTCCATGGCACTTTACCTCACGTTCAAGACGTGGTTGACATGTTAAGTGCCATGCCAGTCACCGGTAACTGACACTGTACTTTCCGTTCGGACCGCATCAGTCACCGGTGACCGACGATATAAAATTTAAAAAGTTCTATTCTTGTATATAAAAAATTTCTAAATAATTTTACGATCATAAAAGAATGTACCTAAATATTACTTGTTACAAAAAAAAAGGTATTATTAAAACAGGGTATTCAAAGGACAAAAAAAAGAAAGAACAAAAAGAATATACTTGGCATTTAATACCTTGCATCATCCATTTATTTTAAGTCTGTTAGATCGAAGATCAATAAATGGGAGTGTCTTAAAAAACACTTAAAAAACGTTAGTAATTTCCTTCGTACTTCGATAAATTATTTGAATTAATATTATATGACAGCTACTTTCGAAATTGTTATTTAAAAGATTTAGCTCCTTTTGCGTACAGTACAATTATTGGAAAGCCTCTTAACAAGCTGCCGATAAGTAAAGTATTAATTAACCGAAGAATCTCTTTGAAAAGACACCAAACAAACTGATTTTATTTAGGTTTGCTTCTGTCGCGACCTCCTCGATCAGAAAACACTTTGGGCATTCTTTCGAAATGCGTGGGTGGTAGGTGCGCGTTATCAGCGACGCAAAGGGCGGATAGAAAACGAGGGGAGCCAGCGTAAGGACAGCAAAAGATCGGTTTCACAGCCTCGATTAGGAGAATCGATTCGATTACAAAGAGCGCCCCCCGTCGCTTGTCCGTACACCGGAATAAAAATGGACCCGTGCGACCTCGTGTCGATTTCTTCTACCGTTTCCTCGCCGCCTCTCTTTCGGAACATAGACCGTCTCTCCGGCTGCAGCAGGTTTTTCGCAATGGATCGATAATGTCAAACTCGGAAGTCTTCCAGAGACATTCGTAAAACCGATTGGTCGAAAATATTATTCTAGAATCCGTTAGGGTACAAAGTATAGTTGCGAACGATTATCAGTAGATAATTGTAACGATAAAAATGGACATTGTCTTATCGTGGGATGGAATAGGCTGTGTAAGCTCCGTCAGTGCTAGATGCTCATCTGTGGTTTCGGTGGAAAGTAGATCGAATCGTAACGAACAACAGGAAGTGAAAGAGAAATGAAACAGAGGAAATCAAACGAACGACTTCGTGGAAATTCAACGTACGCGCGAAGTCTTGTTACGGTGAAATCAGTCGCTGGTGTTCGACATGAACGGCGAATGGGGGCTCCATTCGATAGAGAACGAAACTTCACGGAACAGAGAAATAAATGAAAACGAAAGCAAAGAACAGAAGGGCAACACAACGTGTCTGAAATGATAATTTTTATTAAACGTTCTGCCGGGCAGGCATGTAGCATCGCCGTGACATCGTGAGTCTTGATTTCTTTCGCCGTTAAATTCAACCTCGATTACCAAAAAATGGACAGAAGGCTTGCGGTCGCGACGATTTCCCCGCTTGTTTGTTCTCTTCGGCGGGCGTCCTCGCGCGTGCTTATGTCGCCCCTAATAAATCCCGTCGAAAATACACGCGAGGAGCGGCGCCACTTCGAAACCGTTATAGTCCAGGAAAACCTCGCGACGCAGGTGAGTTCGCTTTTATATTCAATAAATATTTTACGTACACACGTGATACGTTCGTAATTGGTAGCGTCTTTTTTTTTTTTAGTATTGTTCTAATTGGACAGAAGTTGGTTTTCTTTTTTATGTACGCGGTTCACAGTTTTGGGCGAAACGTTCTCTCTATCTCTCTCCGGCGATCACAACACGAATCCTTAATCGTTAAACTCGCTTCCGGTCCCGTTCTGCCCGGGACACGATCGTCTCCCTCGATCATCCGTCGATCTCTCGAGACACTCGGATCGCTGGTGTCCTCCTCGCGCTAAACGGAGGACGATTTCTTCCGCGTTCGCCCCGGACTCGCAGTAATCCGGGGCGGCCACGCGTTGATCGAGTTCACCCGCGCTGAGCAAATCGCGTCGAAATGTATCAAATATATATATATGTATATATAGATATATACGTGTCGGTGTGTATGCGTGTGTGTGTGTTTGTGTGTAAGTGTACGCGTGATCCAGCGAACGGCGGCCTCCGAAAACTAGCCGCTGAAAACCGCCGCGCGACAAACGACGAACAAAGCTCGTTCTTTTCCGATTTCTCTCTACCGCCTGAAATTAGGAGACAAGAAACAAGGGGGATGTGGGGGTCGGGGCGAAGAAAGCAAGGAAGAACTTACGAATCTAGTATTGCAACCTCTATACACCAGCGCGTTGCATCTCGCGGGAAAAGAACGAGTCGCTGGCTGGACGAAGCCTGCTTTCGTGCGACGCGCGATTTTACACATTACATCTCGTATAATCGTTTATATATATATGCATATATATATATATATATATATATATATATATATATATATATATATATATA